GTCTGCATTCAAGCCATCCATCATCTGAAGATACATAATTACACTGTAAATTGGATTTATTACGAACCATGCTCAAGTCCTCAGTGTAGCATATCTACATTTGTATTATTATTATTATTATTATTATTAAAAAGGAGAGGGATGAAGAATTTTATGGTTTGTAAGTTTGAGGTTTTCACGGCGATGACTGTGAAGAAAGTCGTCTTCTGGGTTTAGGCGCCTTGTATTCTTCGTTTTGGCCGACGTTTCAGAGGAACGTATCGCCTCCATCTTCAGAGCAGTTGAATGGCTTGGAATACAGAGAGCAGTAGCTGTAGCAGTAGCCTAAACCCAGAAGACGACTTTCTTTAATTTTATGGTTGTTCTTTTGCTTTCAGTCATTGCTGTCACTTCTGTGACAACTGTGACATGAAACAAGACATATTTTTATTGCTCCACCAATTAGGAAAGTTATCAAAATGTGGTTACTATAGGATTCTGACGATGGTGTATAACACATAGAGATATTGGGTTTTTGGACTTTATCCATCGTCCTGGTTTTTAAGATAACTAAGAAAAACACAACGTTTCGGAAACTGGATCTGTTTCCGTCCTCAATCAGTGGTCCAGTGATTGAGGCTAGCTCTTTCTAAGGGACCCAACAGAATAGGTGTTTTCCCTCACCTGAGGATGGAAACAGATCCAGTTTCTGAAACGTTGTGTTTTTCTTAGTTATCTTAAAAACCAGGACGATGGATAAAGTCCAAAAACCCAATATCTCTGTGTGTTATCAAAATGTTTCTGTCAACAGCCAAATATTACCTTCCTAACTACTGGAGACAGATATTCTCAACAAACCTTAGATTCATCAACAAACTTCTGTGCTGCCATGGTGATGAACCGCAGGTCAGCCTGATGTGCAATGACATCACTTACAAACTCCCTAGTGCTGTCCGCACTGCTGCTGAGCTTATTCAAGTTAGAGAGGGACCTCTCCTTATCCTCCAGAGTTTTCTGGGCCTTACCAAGCCAAGTACAGAATGTAGCAAGCTCATTCCTAGAAGCAGCAGTAGCACAATAATCCATTAGTGCACAAATTCCTATTCAGAAATGGATATGGCATGTTCACATGCTGGTGTCATGTAAATTGAAATGTTACAAAATGAAGCTGCCAAACACACCTGAATTTGCTGAACTCATCACAAGCAGCAGTGAGCCGTTTGAGTAATCTGTCTGTTCTGTCCATAGCACGTTCATAACTAGTCTTGAGTGAGCGTCCATTCTTCTCAAGAGTGGACACTTCATCGCTTGATAGAACGTCACCACCTGATGCAACTATCTGCCGCACCTGGTCCAAGCATGATGCCACTGGTCTTGAATGAGAGTCCAAGTCATCCTTCACTTGCTGCATATATAAGCACAATGCACAAAATGAAACATAAGCCCTCGAAAGAAAAAGCATACATCCATTACATAGGTGAGCAGTAAGTACAGAAAGCAAAGATGTAAGATGATTATAATTGATAGAGCTAAAGTTCCTACACAGATTAAGAAAGAAAAAAGAAAACAAATCCAAAATTAGGACATTATGCAATATCTTAAAGTAGAGAGGTCTACACTACACACAAAGTTGGTTATATTATGGATAGAGGAGTATGGACATGCATTACATGTGGAAAGCAACAAGATTCCATTTGACGCGCAAGAAGTGAACACCACTGAGGATATGAGTGACTATGTGGATAGAATGAGCGAGTGATATTACTGAAAAGGGAGCAAAGAATGGAGGCAATTTTGTTTTTTTTTTTTAAGTGATTCACCCTTGTGAAATCTCAGCAAATGCATCTGACTATAAAGCAGTCAAGTAACTAAAAATTTTATACATTTGGTCGTGAGATGTAAAGGCTGCCATATTTTTCTCAACAGTCAGCTCACAGATGGCAGTGAGGTTGCCACCCTCACGTGCTGGCTACCCTTTAACCCCCAGGAAGATCCCTGGCACTCATTTCTGTTACAGGCTGCATCGATAAGATGTGAAATAAAAGTGAAATCTAAAGTAAAAGGAACAAATTTAACGAATATGAGAAGCCTGAAATGACAGGGAAATTCCATCAGTCTGATGGAATATGACACCTTCAAAACACTAATGAACTATCAAATTCATAACCCTTCAATATCTGTCACATGAGAAACATAAACTTTGGTGGACTATCTGATTTAAGCAAGTTTTAAGAAATTTCCTTGTTTACATTTCGTTTAATGAGAATGACAAACTCTGCTCAATATAATTCTTGTCTGTCATTTTTCTAACTTTTGTCTCTTGTTACCTGCCTGACTTGGAAATTAGACTTTTGGTTATGTTACTGATATCATTATCAGGGCTTAAAATAATGTCATCCAGTAACCTAAGGCAAGATGACTTTGTGCATTAGTAAGCATAAATTCACAAAAGGCATTTATATTAAGAGATTTTCTCATTTCCTTTTCCATGGACATGTTTTGGCAGAGCCTTAAAAACATTTCCTCTAACTTCATAAATGTTCCAACAGTACTTCATAAAAAATATTTTTTCCACTGCTGGGTGCTTACAAAATAACAATAGGCTATGATTATAATGATGGCAATAATTATGATGTCTATGACAAAATGCAATTAATTTACAGGGATATGAGATGATGAATGAATTTGTAGTTTGGTAAGCAGAACCAAGCACAATTTTTAAGTCAAACTTATAATTATTTGTCACTCAGCTCTTTTTCATTATAATCACTATCATCACAACATCAACTAAAACAACACCAATCATCATCACTGCTGCTGCTGCCACCACTATCAACATTACTGAACTCTTCCTAGTTTCATTCAGATGGTAACATCCTAGCTTACTGTAAGCGAAGTGGGAACAAATTAATCACCTTCATGGTGTTGATCTGATTACGGAGTTCATCTGCATCTTCCTGGACCACATCCTGGTTTGCCAGCTTGTCTTCCACTTCTCTAATCCATGTGAGAAGTTTCAGTAATGTGTCATCACAATGTTTATACTTCTCTTCCATCGCTTGCTACATTAAATACAAAGAAAAACTATAAGCTTCAGCAACCAAACAAGAATATATTCAAATCACGAACAAAACAAAATGGGAAAATCTGAACCAATTTTGTACATAAACAAAAGAAAAATGTTACGAGAGCATCCTTCCTCAGCTTGTTAATGTCTGCAATGTTGTTGACTTCATTCAGAAATGGGAATGAATTAAATTTCACAAAAAACGTTACTTTCAGACACACACATGGTCACAGGTCTTTGAAAACGGCAAATTTATTATAAAAATTCTTACACCACAGAAAGAATACAAGGAAGACAGAGTATAACATCATTCATGATGTTTTAAAATTATTACACTCAGTCCATAAATGTTTTATTTGTGGAACAATTCTTTCATAGTACTGTGTATCTGAGCCAGAATGACAGCCTAAACGTTCTGTACAAAATTGGCCCAAAAATATCAAATCCCATTCTAAGCTAGGACGCGAACTCATAAGTCAAGGTATAGTACGAATTCTACATGCCAAAGCACAGATAAGATGCTAGCTAATTCTTGCTGCTAAATGCTTGGCAAGCTGAGAAAGCAGCACCTAATTACTGTGCATCATTTAGCTTTAGAGCTTCTAAGTACAAGATAGTTTTAGTAATGATTTACTCTCAAATATAGGAAATGGTAAAATAATAAACCCCGTTATCAGGTAAATTTCGTTTTACAACATTATGCTTGTAACTCACCAAACTGAGAAGTCTCACAAAATCAAATATAAATATAAATACTAATTTCAAAAGCTTAGAGGAACAAGGGCCACTAAGAGCACAATCTGCCTGCATAATCCTGCTTCATGAAGAACAAAACATTGGCTTCAGTATAAATTTCAAGCCCACTGTCCATAACAGTCTGTCAATTTCTCTTACAGGCATGAAATAATATACCAGCAACTGACCAACAAGTCTAAACTCCTATAACTGATGGCACACCCTTCACCTGCATGCAGTATAGTGCATCTCAAAGCACTGAGACTTAGATTTGATGGTCCGTTCAAACTGGACTGTCAACACAATGCACAGTAACAGTGAATTCAGCATCATTGTATTGTGTCAAAAACATGTGAACACACCTACCATAAACCTGTTTGCATGCAAAGAACACATGATAGCTAATGCTATTCAAAGAAAAACACATCAATATTCCTAGCTACACATTCATCATTCACACTAGCAGCCAAGCTGTAACTTTAATCTGTGCTAGAATGCACATTTATATATGTTATGTTAAGATTAGTTTATAATTAGGAACATGTATTACGTTACGTCACATCTGAAAATAACAAGTTCAAAACCTGAAAAACAGAAACAAGTCAAAATCATGAGTAACAACAACTGAAATATATTATAGCTATTCACAGGTTTTGTTCCAGACTATTCCTTGAATTCTAATAAAAACAAAGAATAAAAGAACTTTAGTAACCTCTGAATATTTGCCACAGAACATATAACAGGTCAAAAGAACACTCCAAACATTTAAAATTGCTTTTTTATGAGTTAGTTGTCTTACTGTATAGGTTAGCATGAGGGTTAACAAGAAAATTAGCACTGCCGAGCAGATCTATTCACAACTTGAATTCAAGGTTAGTGTCCACGCTATCTCCATGCTTTTAGATGTGGAAGCGAGCACATTCTCCATTTTGCCTGAGTATCTTTGCCCCCAAAACACTGTAGCCTCTTTTTGTGTATTTTCCTTCCAATATCCAATCACCCAAATACAGTGTAATACTTTTCAACATATTAGTCAGAAAGTATGCCACGAAACACCTGAAACTAAAAAACTGAAAGAGATTTGATCAGATTAAAAAAATTCTATTCTCAGACTAAATATACATTCATAAGAAAAGTGGCTAATGTCTGTTCCCAAGATGTCACCTGCATCTGACACTGAATGGGTACAACCATCATGCATATCATCACCCTGGTGAGAAGGCACATTCATTGTGAGTAATTAAGCATTGGAAACACAACAAAGTGCAGACTTGCAAAACTGACATATGCCACTCATGTCCTAAGCATTATACTGTCAGATACAAATTCATATATTCTGGTATGCTTTTGGTATCTGATCTTAATACACAACTATGGGCGCCAGCAAGGGTGGAGGGGGGCAAAACAGACATTCCCCTCCATGATTTGGAAAAGAGAAAATTAAAGAAAAAATTTATTAAATAATAATAAAAATGTGAAGCATTTAAAAATGACCAGTATAAAAATAGGATTAAATGACCTAGCAAATTTTCTGCCCCCCTCCCCTGAAAAATCCTGATGGCACCCATATATACAACATAAATTACCGAGTTATATGGTCATGCATCATTAAACTTTCTTTATTATGTAGGGTGTACCGAAAGTCATGAGCAACTTTTTGCATGCAAACTGGGAACAGCAGATGAAAGAGAGTATGGTGGTAGGTGGAACCAGCTGTTGTGTTAACCTTGAGTATCTTGTGACCTCAATAGCTTGCATCACATGACCAGTATCACTCCTAACAAAATGGCCAACAATGATAAGTCGTTTCACCAGCGTCCTGTCATCGAATTTCTTGTGAAGGAGGAAATCCCTGCTGCAGAAATTCACCAGAACTTCAGCGTGCTTATGGAAGTGTGTGCATGGGTGCGAGCAGTGTTCGAAGATGGGTGAAACATTTTAAAGATGGGAACACCAGCATCGAAGATGAGCCTTCGAGTGATCGTCCTTGAACAGCCTCAACTGAACGCAACAAGGAAAGAGTGGATGAGATCATTCAAGATGACAGACGTGTGACTGTGGACACAATAGCCCGAAAACTTGGAATAGGGCACAGTGCAGTACAGGAGATGATTGAAAGCTTGGGCTATAGGAAAGTTTGTGATCGTTGGGTCCTGCGGTTATTGACTGAAGACCACAAAGGTCAGCGAAAAGCCATCACCTCAGAACTGCTGCAGAGATATCGACACGAAGGCGATGATTTTTTGCTCTGTATTGTGACAGGTAACGAAAGCTGGTTTCACCATTTCGAGCCTGAAACGAAACGGCAGTGTATGGAATGGCATCATTTACATTGTCCATAAAAAAAGAAGGCAAAGACAGTGCCAACAGCTGCAAAGGTGATGGGCACAGTCTTATGGGATGCAGTGGCGTTTATTCTGGCCAAATTCCTGGAACCTGGGCAAACCATCAATGCTGCTCGTTATGTCCAGATGCTGCACAAGCTCTGTCGTGCATTGTGCAATAAACGTCTGGGACGAAACATCATCCTGCATGACAATGCTCAGCCCCATGCCGCTTGCCTCACATTGGAAGCAATTGCAAAGATGGGGTGGGAAGTTCTTCCACACCCCTCCTATAGCCCTGATATCTGGCACCCTCCGACTACTATCTTTTCCGATTTATGAAGGATCAGCTGCGTGGACAACATTTTGAGACAAGGGAGGCAATTCAGAGAGCAGTGCGTCAGTGTCTTCGGATGGCTGGAACGGAATTTTACAGAAAGGGATTTTTCAAACTCCCAGAACGCTGGGAGAAATGTGTACAAAGTAGTGGCGACTGTGTGGAAAAATAAAGAAAGGTCTGTAGATTGAGGTGGTAGATTTGGTTTGTCCATTATAAAGCATTTTACTTTACAAACAAGTGTTGCTCATGACTTTCAGTACAACCCTCGTAAAAGCAAATTTCAAACAAGATAATGCAAAGAAGAATGTGAACCAAACTCTCAGGACACACATATGACAAAAATGTACTTACTGTTAATTTAACATTACAAAAATTGTTAACAATCAGACTTTCTGATAGTAGGAGCTTGGTTCTGTGCTTACTGCCCCAACAAGTAATAAAACATCATGCTGATTCTGATTTTAAGCAAAGACTAAAGGCTTTAACTATGATACAGCCAACATCAGGCAGCATTCATGTGAACACAATGAAGAAAATATTTCATGCCAATTAAAACAGAATATTTTCTGAATAAGGACTTTAATTATTAATGACATTAACATAGATTCGACACGTAACTGTTCTTCCCAACCAGATAAGTTATCTAAACAATCAAGTACCACATCTGTAGGTATTTAATATTTGGAATTAGTCAGTCCTTATTTGATACCATATTGGAAATAAGTTATAATTTTAAATGAATCTTTTGAAACAAACATCACTGCACACAAGCTATAGCAGCCTCAAGCAAATTTCTGAAAACAAGAATTCCCCATACATGCAATAAAGCCAGTAATAGTGTTTTTTTGTTCAGACATTAAGGCACATGATGAGGGAAGAAATCACAAATGAGAATATTAAACACACACAGAACTAAAGTTTCCTTAATATGATGATTTGTATAACGAAAATCAAAGACCCTGGCAGCTTCCAAAGGAATGTAGGACTTAGATCATTTTACTGTACAGTAATGTTAGAAGATTCAGTGTTTCGAACTGAAGCCTTTGGAACTGTAAAATTCTACTAAATGGGATGAAGATTAAAGTATAATCCAGCATATAAACATTCAAGCTGGGATAGCTAAGTTCGCAGTGAGACTAGCCATGAGCTGGATGACCAAGGTTCAATTCCTGGTAAGAGTGAGATCTTTCTTTTTGCAGGCACATCCAGAATGACGTAAGGTCCACCACACTGGTACCGTATGTTTTTCGTCATGGGTTAAGCAGCTGGAGTACAAATTTACAGCAAGCAATGTATACTAAAAACAAAATATGAGCTTCTGGAAACAATATAATCTACTGCTTTTCTGGTGGGAAACTTCAAATGACGGATCATATATTCCAATAAAATACTGGAACTACTAAGAACCTCACATACAGTGACCACTGTGTGACAATATATATATACACATACACATATGCATATGAAGTAAATCAAGGTAACTATAATAACATGGCCGCGCCATAGCTCAAGCGGTTAGCCGCTTGCTTCCCAGGTTTGATCCCAGGTCTGGTCAAGTGGGATTTGTGGTGGACAAAGTGGTGCTGGGCCAGGTTTTCTCCAAATACTTCGGTTTCCCCCGCCAATCTTCATTCCACCAACTGCTCCACAATCACCCTCACCTATAATCTGGGGCTGCTACAATAGGCCAGAAGTGGCCGCAGTACAAGGGACTTAGTCCCACCCCACTAGCAATAAAAAAACTACAATAACATAATAATAATGTAAATGGATGATTCAAGAATATTCTAATTGTGTAGAGTGAAACAGTCTGTTTTTAGAAAACATCAAACCAGCAGTTGGTTTCAAGGTCATGCTGAACCTACAGCAGGGAACAACTCTTCAGTGCAATCACTTCAGAATTGAAAAGGAATAAGTCAGGAGTGCCAAGGTCTTCAAATTATTTTTATCAGACTTCAACTGTATCAAATGCCAACCATTAAATTGATATAAAGTAACTTAAAAACTGAAGTCACTTCAAATATTTGTGTAGCTAAGACAATTAGAAAATAATAAGAACAAGAACAGAGAACTTACTCGTGCTTCTGCAGCAAGAATGTATCCCTTGTCACGTGCTTTAAGCAAATCGATGCTTTTTCCTGTTGATGTCTCCAGCATCCGCCCAGCTTCAGCATCCACAATCTTGCTAATTGAAATGGCATCTGTTAGAGATGATATGTTGCCACTATCAGCATCCTTCACAACTGTTGTTGATGGATCAATTAGGCCAAACTCAATAGCTTCCTCAAGCCTTAACCTCCGCCTATCAATAACTCCGGAAGAAAAGAATGGATCTGTAAATCCACCTGTTGTTGGGTTATACAGACCAAACTGCAGACCTTCAATAAGAGAGAGTCCTCGGCGTGGTGTTGTTAGAAGACCTGATTCAATTGCAGCTGACAGAGAATATAAACGTGATGTTGCACAATCTAGAACATTACCTTTCTCAGCATCCATGAGACCTTTACGAAAGGCTTCAGGCAATTTGACAAGTTTCTTTTTTGTGCTATCTTTAATTAGGGCTGAATCAGGATCAATGAGTCCAAGAGAGACAGTTTCTTTCAATGTGAGGACTTCTTTTGATTGTGGATCAATAAATTTTCCAGTTCCTACATTGAGGTGTCCTTGTTCAATAGCAGCATCAAATGTAAGTGGCTCACGAAGGAATACAACAGTACCTTGTTCAAAAATAATGCACAATGGCTTGACCTTTCCAGTTTGAGGATCAAATGCTGCTCTCTTGTTCATGTCAATAACTCCATCAGTTATTGCCTTCTTGAGTGTGCGGAAACGTCCTGTCTGTGGATCCTTCACAACTGCAGATTCAGGATCAATTAATTCATACCTTATTGCCTCCTCTAACGTGCATTCCCTCATTGTTCGTGGATCTTTGAATGTTCCACGCTGGAAATCAATTGAACCACGTCGCACAGCTTGTTGGAAGGTTATAGGTCGATCAACAGTGATTAGCAGGCCTCTCTCCAAGGCTGAATCAATTGTGTATGCTCGCTTTGTCTTAGGATCAACAACACGACCACGAGGAGTATCTATTGAACCATCCTCAATGCCTGAGTTAACACTCTTCAGCTGTCCAGTGGCTGGGTCTTTCAGTGCTGTAGTATTTGCATCTATCAGACCATGAACCAGTGCTTGGGCAATGTCTAACTTATCTCCTACAACAGGATCAGTGAACCGCCCTGTGTCAGCATGATACAGTCCATTTCTCACTGCTTCTTCAATTGACAATGGTTTCTTAGAAGTGACGATGAGTCCCTTCTCCTTAGCTTCCTTCAAAGTAAGGGTTCTCTTGCTATCAGGTATTTTGTAGGTCCCCTGTTCTTCATCTATGAGAGCTGCTTCTACTGCATCAGGCAATTTGAAATATTTACCAGATTTGGAGTGCTTAACAATTGATGTTAAGGGATTTATTAGTTCTTCTTTACAGGCATCAGATAGCATCAACCTTCTTCCTGTAGATGGATGTACAAAACGCCCAGAATCAGCATCATAAAGTCCCATGGCAATTGCTTCATACAGTCCAAACCCTGCACTTTCAATATCAACAATAAGCCCAAGTTCCATTGCATCAGACAAATAAACTGTACAGTTAGCACCAGGTTCCCTGAAAGTGCCTGCCCGTCTGTCAATGATTCCAGCTCGGCATGTTTCCACCAAAGACAGAAGACGTTCAGACTTCTTCTCCCAGTAACAAGGAAGCTGGGGATTGATGATAAATCTGCGAATAGCTTCATGTAGAGTTATCTTCCTACCAGTGTTGGGATCTGTTAATTTTCCTGTGGAATCATCATACAGCCCTTGATGAATAGCTCTCTGTATTGATACTGCTGCTTTACTATCAACGATCAGACCCAAATCAAAAGCTTCTGATATTGTTACCTCCAGGTTTCCATGTGTGAAGTCTTTAACCTTTGCAGTCTCTCCATCCACAAATCCAAGCTTAATTGCTTCTGCAAGAGAGACTTTCTTCCAAAATCCACTTCGTGTATCTTTAACATGGACAGAATCTGAATCAATTAGATTTCTCTCAATTGCATCTGCCAAGGTAAGATGATCCCCACTAGATGGATCCAAGAAGTGCCCTTTTTCTTCATCAAACACACCCTTCAGCTGTGCTTCACTAAGAGACATTGGTCTCCGAACCTCAATCAAAAGACCTTGCTCAAATGCCTCTTGGAAATCCAGCTTCCTACTGAACTGTCCAGCTCCTGCAATGGTGCCTGTCCTTGAATCCACAATCCCTTCCTCAACAGCATTACCGAATGTAATGATCTCCCCACCATTCGTTTTGACCAAAGTTGATGCAGGATCAATAATACCCCGTCTAATTGCACGATCTGTTGGAAGTTTTTCCCTAGTTTCAGGGTTTGTGAACTTTCCTGACTTTGGATCATAAAAACCTTTAAAAACTGCTTCAGGCAATGAGAACTTTCTCTTGGCAGGTACAATCAGCCCACGTTCTAGAGCATCATAGAAATGCATCTCAGCACCATTTGTAGGATCTGCTGCTGTTCCTAATTTAGGGTCAATAACACCAATCTTGATAGCTTCTCCCAAAGTGATAATATCACCAGAACGCGGGTCCTTCACCGTGAGAGCATCCCTGTTTATCTCACCTCTCTTCATAGCTTCATCCAGTGTCATCCTTTCACCATCTCCATTGATGACCATCAGTCCTGTTTTAGGATCATAGCAACCCTGAGCAAGGGCTTCCTGCAGGGACCAGGGTTTGCGTGTGGTTAATATGTAACCTTTCTCAAAGGCTATGTCTAATGTCATTGGTGTAGGGTAGGTTAGGATTCCCTTCTGAGCATCTAACAGGCCAGTTGCTGTGGACTCTCTAAAGGTAACAATTTTGTCCTGATGTGAATCCTTTACTCTAACTGAGGAACAATCTACAAAGCCCAGATCAACTGCTTCTTGAACAGTGAGCTCATCTCCCGAAGCTGGATCTGACACTTTTCCAGTGCATGGAGAATAGTATTCCTGCACAATTGCTTCAATTAGAGTAACGCTAAATTTGTTGGTAACAATTAAACCCTTATCAAGGGCCAAATCTAATGTCATTAGGTTCCCATTAGATGTATTGCGTAATTTTCCAGTCTTTGGATTCACCAATTTAGTTGCTAATGCATCATCAAGGGAGACAAAAGCATCAGCCCTGGTATCTTTGCATTCTGTCACAAATGCATCAACCAACCCCCGCTTTACGGACTCCTCGACATCTACAGCCTGTTTCGTCAAGGGATCAGTGATCCTGCCAGTCTTTGAATTATAAAGCCCTTTCCTTATCACAGCTTCTAATGACACTGGTTTTCTCGGTCCTGCAACTACATATCCTTGCATGAATGCCACTTTGAACTCCACTTCTGTTCTTGTTTCTACATTCACAATTACACCTCGATTCAGATCTACAATTCCAATTTCCACAGCTTCAGACAAAGGAAGAATATCATCATTTTCTGGATTCCGAATGCTCACTGAAACAGGATCCAATACCCCATATGTTAAAGCTTCTGCAAAGCTAAAAGTATCTCCTGTTTTAGGGTCTTGAACATCCCCAGTTTTTGGATCATACAGTCCACCATCAACAGCTTCTTGGAATGTTAGAGATGGGCGATGCTTTACTTTGATTGGCTTAATTTTGCCAGATTTCTCAACAATCCAGCCCAATTTCACAGCCTCAAAGAAAGGTACACGTTTTCCTGTTTGAGGATCCACCATGTGACCGGTGACTCTGTCGATAAGCGGTGCCTCCAGAGCTTCTCGCAAAGTAATGTAAGTTTCAGGATGGCTTCCAAGATCTTTAACTTCAATGGAGTCTGGGTCAAACACATCATACCCAAGAATAAAGTCTTCAAATCTAATTGCCTCTCCAGTTAGAGGATCAACAAATGAGTCAGAATCCAAATTGTAAACACCATTACTTGCTAAGTTCTCAGCATTCAGAAGTTTTGTGACTTTAACTTTGAACCGTGTTTTCCTGTCCACTAAACCAACCTTTGCCTTACTGAATACTTCCACAACATCTTTTAAAGCTACAGCATTTCTATCCAGTGCATCTTGCACAGTCATCTGTTCTTCCTCCTCCTCGCCAGAAGTTGGTATAGTAATACTACAACTCTCTGGTTCAATGTGCCCATCATAGATAGCTTCTCTCAATGGCATCTTCAGTCCTCTGATTATGTCCTTAACTGGAGATGGTGTTCTAGCCTTTGTCTTAATAGTTATAACAGGACTCTTGTCCCTTTCTGAAGGCTTAGTTGGACTCTTCTGACATTCAAGTGCTTTTGGAGGACTCTTCCTGCTTGGTGATATGGTGGTCTCTTGAATAGGAGATGCCTTCAAAGAAATACTCTGCTCTATCACGGAACTATTTGGCTGTGAAGATATCTCATGCGATTTCTTGTTAGTGTTATTCTTCAGACCTTTTACAGCATCTGCAACCGCCATTCCAGCAAGCACTGGAGCACTCACAATTGCCAGTAATCCCAATTTCGCAGCTTCTTTCACATTAACGCTCATTCCAGTCTTTGTATCCTTAACCCTGCCAGTTCCTGGGTCTATCATTCCTCTCTCAACTGCTTCACGAGTTGTAACAGGTTTCCCACTAGTTACATCATATATCACAGCTTCAGGATCAATAATTCCCTTATCTAAAGCTTCCTTAAAAGTGTAATTCTTTGTTGGTGAATGTGGATCACGGAATTTCTTAGTTGTATCTTCATAAAGTGTATCAAAGGCTTCTACTGGATTTAATTTCTTGACCTTCTTCCCTGTAGGTGATATAGTGGTATCCTCTGAAATTTGTGTAGGCACAGTTGTGTCCAATAAGCCTTCTTTGATGGCTTCTGAAATACTCATTACTTCTCCTGTTGCAGGATTTGTGTATGTGCCAGCGTCAAGGTCAACATATCCTTGAGCTACTGCATCTGAAAATGACATTTTAATTTCCCTTGTTGTGAATTCCTCTTTTGTTTCTGATTCATCTTTAACTATACCTCGCCTTCTGGCTTCATCAAGAGGTATTACCTCCCCTGTTTGGGTATGTTTTACTTCATCTGGTCCAATCAAGATATAACCATGCTTCAATTCTATAGTCTTAGTTGTGATTGTATGATATGAAGTCACTGTCTCAGTCACTGCAGTCACTGTTCCAGATGGCTCAAATGTAATGAGCTGTGGTATTGGTTTGATGACTAATATACCATTTTCAACAGCTTCTGACACAGGGATCACTTCCCCTGTTTTGGGGTTCCTGAAGGTTCCTTTCTCTTCATCAATAAGATTATGATCCAAGGCTTGAGTTACTTCCACACTGAATGGTGACACAGGATATGGCAAAGCCATAATAAAGTCATCTTTGATGGCTTTCTCAAGAGGTATCCTAACACCTGTTATAGGATGCAAAATTTCTTTGGTAACTGGATCTACCAAGCCACGTCTCAATGCCACAGGGAATGTCATGCCAGCAGGAGGTAGTCTCTTAACTGAACTTTCATGAGGAAGTTTCTCAAACACCTTCAAGTCCTGTGCTGCAGTTAATAGATCCACCAAGCCACTTGGTGTCTTAATCAATGATTTATCCTCATCTATACAGCCCTTAGCTATGGCTTCCTCCAGTGTCACTTTACTGCCACTTGATGGTTCCACCATCCTTGACAAGGGATCCACGATCTCACATACAATTGCTTCACGTAATGATAAATGTGTTCCAGTTTCTGGATGTACAATTTTCTTAGCATCTGGGTCCATTAGCCCCTGTTCTAACAGTCCTGGAACTGACAAACTATGAGCTACAGGAATCAAAAGACGGCCAGAGGGCCCTGCAGGATCTAATATGCCACGGTCCATGGCTTCCTTGATGGTTAAGACATCTCCATGTTGGGGATCCAATATTGCACCCTTATTTCCATCAAGCTTGTTACAGCTCAAAGCCTCCGCTAAGCTCAAACTTTCACCATCTGAGCCTCTGAAAATCTCTGGCTTCTCCAAGATGTCAGCAGTCTCCTTATCAATCATACCACTTTCAACAGCATCACATGGTTTCACAACCTTCTTACGCATCTTTTGCAGAACAACTGGTTTTGCTTCACGTTCAGGGCTCTGCGAAAAAGACCTTGCACGGCCAATTGCAACTTTGTATTTCGGTTCAGTTGTCACTCTTCCTCGTGTACGTTCTCCAGCAGATGGTCTGCCATCATCATCATCTAATGGTATTGTTGTAGTGCTCAATGTCTTAACTGGCTTACCTCTTTCAACTCCATCCTGGGCAGCTGCTGTTAAATGTTTCAAATCTTCAGGTGTGAGGAGTCCTTTTTCAACAGCTTGCTGAGCTGTGATTTCCTTTCCAGTAGATGGATCCTGTATCACAACAGACGTGGATACAATCTCGGTGGTTGTAGTAACCACTTGTTCAGGAGAAGTTCCTTCTATGAAACATTCTGTTGCAGCCTCAAAACTACGTAAGGTCTCATCATCAATAAGGCCACGTTCATATGCCACTTCTATTGGCACTTCCTCACCAGTACTTGGATCAGCAACCAAAGCTTTCTTGATGACTTTGGCAGCTTTCACAGCAGCAACAAGAGGTGAACCCACAACAGCTAACACTCCAAACTTAGCAGCCTCAGCTAACGGAATCTTGCGTCCTGCTTTGTCTTTGTAATCCCCAGTTTCCTTATCAACAATCCCCTTTCTCATGGCTTCATTAATATTCAGACTTTTTCCAGTGTAAGGATCCTTAACTTTCACCATTCTTGGCTCTATTTTTCCTGTCTTCACAGCTGCCAGAAGATTGTCTGCTTTGCCAGACTCCGTGAAGATGACTAATGAGGTAGCAGGATCATATATAATGCCAGGTGCAACCTGCAGGGGCTCCAGTATGGAAGTATCAAGCTCAGAGCTCTTTATTTCTGTGAATGTTGGTGGATTTCCAGAAGAACCTGTGCCAACATCTGACAATTCAACCAGATCAGGTTTTCCAGTAACCTTCGTAACTTGGATGAGTCGTGAAGATGCATGATCATGCTCCATTCTTCCTTCTAAGATCACAAAGTTCTTGTCAATAGCTTCTTTCATTGGAAGTTTCTTGCCTCCGTTCGTATAATGTCCAGTTCCATCCAGCACCCTCTTCTCTAAGCTTCTCAGCAAAGATATCTTTCTCCTGTTGTTAGGATCAATAACAAGTGCAGAAGCAGGGTTTATGATCTCAAGTTTTACACACTCCTCAAATGAAACAAGTCTGTCTGTGCCGGGGATAATGAATAAACCAGTAACTGGATCGAACAGCCTCTGCTCAATTGCCTCAGAGAGGTACCAACCATCAGGGGGCAGTTCGAATATCTGCTTCTCTACAGCTGCTGCTTGCCGTTCATTGGAGAGAAATTCTGCAGAATCTGTTTTCTGTGAAGTTGATTCCTGAGATGAATGAATAAGAGAGGAATCAAAAATATCATCTGCTGAGTATTGTAGTAATTTCTGCTTTACAGGAGATGCTGCTCCCTTTCTAGGTGAAGTTCTTCCTTTGCCAGCAGCAGTATCAAAGGATGGTTTCTCTTTGACTGGAGACCCTGCAGGACTCCTCCCTTTCACAGTAGGCACAACTGGACTAGGATCAAAGTTCCTCTCTTTAACAGGTGATGAGCTTCCAGAACTGCGACCTTTTGGCACAGGCTGTCCATGATCTAATGATCTTTCTTTTAATGGAGAGGTACTGTCAAGGCTTCTAACCCTAACCGGACTTCCTTCTGAGGCTTTTGTAGGTGATGCTGTACATGAAGACCTTTGCCTTGTAGGTGAATGATTTGGGCTGTTATCAGGTGATGCAAATCCAATTAGTCCCTCATTCATTGCATCATGGAGAGACAGCACCCTCCCTGTATCAGGGTCTCTAAAGGTCTGCTTAGATTCATCAATCAAACCTCGACGGATTGCTTCACCAAATGACATTTTAATGTCAGATGTAGTGACACCACTAGACGTGATGGTCACATAACGTTTTATAGTTTTTGTGACAGTCTGTGTTGTGACTGTGATAGCTAGGAGACTCCCCAACAAAGCAGCCCCCTCGGGAGAGATCAGTCTACGCCGTACAGCTTCATCCAAGGGGAGAGCTTTCCTATTTTTTGGATCCAACACCTGCCCTGTTTTTGGATCAAGGTAACATTTTGCAACAGCCTCTAGAACAGTCAGTTCCCTTCCCCTATCTCTAATACCTATCTTCCTGTTCAACATTTCCAGAACTTCTGGGCGAACAAGATTTTGCTTCACAGCTTGATCTATAGAAATTGTCTTTCCCAATTTTGGATCTACAACAAACAGTGATACACCAGTCTTCATGCTCAAAGCACCTTTAGCTATTGCTGTATTGAGGCTTACAAAGTCATTGCTATCTGGGTCTTTAAATCCATCAATATCGAAGATTGATTTCACAGATACTGAAGTTATCAATCCCTTGTTGACAGCTTCTGGAATTGAGCAAATTTCTCCTGTTGCCTGATCTCTGAATTTTCCTTCTGGAAGGATTATCTCTTCAGCCAGTGCTTCAGAGAGTGTCAGTAAATTATCTGTTTTTGTGTCTGTTATACTTTTCACAGTATCTGAATCAAGGACACCTCTTGATATACATTCTAAAATGGGAAGTGCATTCCTATGTAATGGACTACGAATCTTTCCTGTGTTATCTATCAGCTCCAAGTCACTGCAGTCTTTTAATGTCATTGGCTTAACAATTAGCTTTCTCCTTCTTGCCTCTCGCAATGGAAGAACTTCCTGAGAGAGTCCATGTATGTATTTCCCTTGCTTTGGATCTAGAATTCCACTAGCAATTGCCTCAGAAACAGTAACTTTGTTGTCTGCAGAGGCATCCACAATTTCTCTTATACTTGGGTCAATGACTCCTCTTTTAATTGCAACTGCCAGTGGAAACTTGTCACCAGAATTTCTGTCCACAATCTGCCCACTGCGATCATCTACTAACCCATGAGAAATTGCATCTGACAGACAAATTCCTACATTACTTGGTTTCTTCTTTCCTTTGTCACCTGTAGGATCCCTGTCAATTAAATTCCTTGCAAATGCTTCCTTTAAGGTGATCTGCTCCCTACCTGTAGGATCTGTGAATTGCCCTGTCTCTGGATGAATCATCCCTTTTGCAACTGCTTCAGCAATGCTAATTCTTTTGTGTTGGTCCTCATCCCTAGTATACATTACCTTTACCCGTCCTTCTGCTGCAGTCACAAATCCCCGTTCTGCATCAAACAGTTCACGCTGTATTGCTTCTAGTAATGACAGTTGTCGTCCAGACCGACCATCCTCTTCTACAATGCCACAGGGACCAAGCAGTCGTTCTGCTAAAGTAGGATCTACAAGACCCCTAGCCATTGCTTCTTCGATGCTGACTGTTGGTGATCGCCCATCTGGTGATGTCACTATCCGACCTGTTCTTACATCTAAAATTCGAAGACTTATGGCATCACCAACAGTCAGTACCTCTCCAGTTGAAGGATGGATGATCCCTGGGGTTTCTATGATGTTATCAGTTCCAATTCCTTCTTCTGATTTGTGTATCCTTTTCAGTGATCGTATTTCTGAAAACTGCATTGAGCTCCCAGACCATTTCATGGGAGAATCTTTACTGATCTTTGATGGACTCATACCAGAGCTAGCCTCACCATTTGATGGAACAGCACTAGGATAGTTGCTGGTCCCTCCTTTTGTCAGTGCTGCTGAGTTGTAGGTTTCGGAGTCTGGTTTTGAACGCTTCTTTGTAGGTGGCCCATTTGATGTGGTTACAGTTACAGTTGTCACCGATGCTGCCTTGCTGTGAGGGTCATCAAATCCTTTCATACTGTTGATTAAGTCATGCTGGCCAGATGTACTCACATGCTGGAGAAACCTGCTGAATAAACCACGCATTGACAGCATTACCAAATATCCTTCATACTAAATGAAATCAGTACTGAAACGAAATGTATCACAACAAAAATAAACTTCTCTCAAAGCTGTAACTCACATTCATTTTAGTTCTCAGTGTGCTAATCCTAAAGATCATGTATTTAAATACTAATAAAAATACATTATGTATCATCACTTATGATGTACGTGTATTTACCTCTATAAATACAACAAACATGTCACAGAATTTAAAACTAAACAACTGTGTTCCAAATAATTAAATTATAATCAATTAGCATCTTAAGAGCAACATTTCAGTTTGTCAATGAAGTCACTTTCTCCAAAAACAATATCAAACAAAACATAAATATCACTCTTTATCGTTCAAATAATTACATCTCTGGATATTATTACTCTTGAAAAATTAAAAACTTGTCACGTCGTCATGTATTACAGTGTAATATGAAATCGAACTCTTGTCAAGAGAGTTCACAGCCTTTCATTGTTTTCTTTAAACACTTAAACCTTGCATACACCTGATAACACGCGGAAACAAGCATAAATTTCAGTGTCCACAACACCAATTAATATACGGAAATTGACAATACAGTATTATATTTTCACATGTATTAGTGACTACAGACATGGTTCGGATTGGTAACTGGATTTACTGATCGTTTACAGGTAGTAACTATAAATAATTATTACATTATTGCTGATTCACTCCAAATCACTCCACATTAATCTTCTCAGTCTCCTTCCACTAGTCTTCACTATCCATTCCCTGGCAACGGATTTGTAACATAGGAATTACAAAAGTCTCACTAAATTACACCCTCCCAATATCACTGTACTATGGCACATATAAAGTCAGACACTAAGTCTTCTCATGGTGACTTATAATTCTTTTCCAACTATTAACTTCCTGTGGCTATATCCTACTGGCAACTGCCTGAACTGAACTACGCTGAATCTTACATCCTCTCGGTATGGACCATGCACAGAAAACACAGCTCTTCTATTGTTGCGTGTGTATCTGTTGGGATACCCATGTGCTTGCTACCCAGCCAGTCCATTGGTGGGCTGGCTGCTGCCTGGCAATGGTCACCTTACCACTCCTACTGTTTGTTGTGTGTTCATCTGAATATGTTTACTGAGTCGCTGCCTAGAAATGGGGTTTTCTGGCTCCATAGCTTAATCCCTTGAGCAAATCCATCACAATATATTGTATGAGAAATATGAGACGACATACAACCAATATAACAAACATGTAGATGTAAATATTTAAGAAATTTAATAAACCCAAGCTATAGAGATACAAATGTAGGCATTTATACGTACTTGTGAAATACACCCTCTAACCCATGAAGACTAGCCATTATACAAAAACCAATATGCATGATTCCACCATTAACATGACTTTAGAATACAAAAGTTATTAAATGTATTTCCCCAGCCATAAAAAAAGTGATCCTCAAACAGTGTTCAGTCATAACCCTCAGTTACAATATAAATATAAAAGCTATTTCCCTTTTCAAGTTTTAACATTTGTGAAACTAATCTGGCTGACATGACAGTAATGCTCTAAACTTGTGATGGAAGGGGGGACTCTGTTCAAATTTCAGCCAGGACACTAGATATCCTGACTGAAGTTTTCACAATTTTCTTCAATCCTTCCAGACAAAATGGCCAAATAGTACCTCACTTAGGCCATGACCACTTCCTTCCAAATTCTTTCCAATTCATCATTTATCCATCATCCTATCATTTGATGCTATATGCTTTAGGTACTGCCAGCATAATAAAATCACCTGCCCCCCCAAATTGTGAATAACAACACATACTTTTAAGAATGTGTATGTAGCTTGGCTACCCTGAGATGACATAACAATGAACACACTACTGGCAATCAACAACACAACAGACTATCATCAACTAGACTACAGCCTGCTTCAATATTATATGAGGAAGATGGAAAACCACAAATAAAGTTCACCTACAACTTGTAGACAGAAGGGTTATTAAGGAGTTGTTATATTAAAAATGTCTGTGACAGATTATTGGGTGAAGCAAACTTGTAACAGCTCATAATACCAATTTTTCCCAAGATTTTATAATGTAATTTACTTTCCAATAATTTGTATTAAATTTCCAGATATGATTCAACGTACACATACTAGAGCACAAAATACATTCTAATTTTCTGACAAAATTAAATATATGTTACATTTGTGGTAATTTAAACCCGTCTACCAAAAACTGGCTCTAAGGGTATCAGCCTTACTCAGCAAAACCAAACGATATATCAGGCCATACAAGTGTAATTTCACCAAGTGACCCACAGAACATTACACCCATTACATAAGTAAGGAAAGGTGAAAGTTAAAATACTATCCATAAATTGTTCCCTGTGTGTCCTACTAAAATAGAACTGGTTTCTATACACATATACAGCTACTTTTAACCCAGCCATACATGAAAAAATATGTCAAGTGATTTGTGTGTCTGTATATAAGCATGTGTGCATAAATACATATGTGGGCACAACTGATTACCATGACAAGAGTCAAATAAGAAAAACAAAGCTGCTACTGAACAAATAGTGTGAGACTTCAAGATACAAATAGTTCAAAGAAATACTCACTCTGAATGTGCTGCATAATGAACACTACTATTGTAAGTTCTGGATTCACTAGTGTCCATTGTAGATGACTCAAAAATGTTGAATTCAGTTCGGAATGTTCGCATTTGTCTGGGTTCCATTTGCGCTACCAGCAACTGTCAGAACAAATTATTAATATCAATAACAAAACATTAATAACACAGATAATTATTCTGCTAGTAATAAGAATTCAGCATTAATAATAATGATTAAGTACCCAACTTAGTACCACATAACCTGATGTCATATACTAGTCTTATCCTAAGAGAGACTAATTCAATCTACATCTCATATCTGCATTTTGTTGTGGCACCAGAAGTCACGGCAGTGATGATGATGATATCAAGAGTACTAACATGAGTAAAATTGTAATGAAGAAATATACAATTATATTACACAATTAAGAGAACAATAAAAATATACAGGGTTTGTCCGAAAAGTAATGTCAGTGAGTCGATTAAAGAACTTTTATGGATTAGATCGGTGCAACACATTAAAAGGCTTCAAAATAGGCTTCTTCTGCGTCGATACATCGATTCCAGCGAGATTTCTAGGCATCGAAGGCGTCATGGCAGGCGTCCTCCGGAATGTCCTTCAGAGCCTTGGTGCAAGCCTCTTTGACTTCGTCAACTGTCCCAAAATGATGTCCTTTCATGGGAGTTTTCAAGCGCGGAAACAAAAAGAAGTCTGGGGAGCCACGTCAGGACTGTAGGGCGGCTTGGGAACCGTTGGCACCTTTGAATCGGTCAGGAAGCGGGTCACGAGGAAGGCGGTGTCGGCTGGCGCATTGTCATGGTGAAGTTTCCAATCGTCCGCGATGTCGGGCCGGATGCGATAAACCCTTCTTTTGGGTCTCTTTAGCACTTCCACGTAGAATTTGGCGTTGATGGTTGTACCATGTAGTACAAACTCACATTTTCGTCGGTGGTGCTTGTTGATGGCCGTCCAGCGCGGGCTTCATCGCCGACCTATTCACGGCCTTCTAAAAAGGCCTTGTGCCACCGGTAGACCTGACATTCCGACAAACAATCGTCACCGAAGGCCGTCTTTATCATGGGAAAAGTTTCCACTGCAGACTTGCCAAGTTTCACACAAAACTTGATGGCAATCCTTTGTTCCAAGGAGCGCTGCATTGCGGCTTGCACGGGAGACAAAAACGAGTTTCACGGAAAAGCCTTTCGTCACTCTCAGGAAGTTCGGAGACGACTAAGCGACCGCGGGTTCATAAGCTGACTTCCCCCTCCACCGAGCCCAACCGGTCTGAGAGTGCTGCGACGTATAGTCACTTCACAATAAAATAACTGACATTACTTTTCGGACAAACCCTGTATGTGACATATGCACAATATACTAGACAATTATTAATAATGTGTAGAAGATTTCATGTACAGTGAAGACCAGTAAGGAATAAGATGTCACAACACTGTGCTAACAATGTTGAAACTAGCAGAACTCCAATTACCAATTCTATTTTCCCTAACATTTAAACCAAACAACATACCGCCCCTTCAACACTTAACACTTCCAGTATTTGCAGTTTGATAACTGACAATATTTGCAACTTCAGAGAGGTCCCTTTCAGAGCGTTCTCCAAATTAAGACTTCTACATATAAAAACAGCATAACATGTCAATAAAGCTCCTATCTATGACATCATCTAGCAAACAAAAATGACCTTAAAATGTTCTCTCCTGCAAAAATATCTTTCAGTCTCAATGAAGTCTACTTGGCTAACTGGACATCACGTGCAATGAATTATGGCACTCAGCATACAGCCATTACTGAGTATAACCATGTTTCTATCTTCTTCTTCACCTCATTCACTTCAATAAAGAGAACTGACTGGCTGACTGACACCATGGAGCAGTGTCCTTCAGAAGTCAACAGCCACACAGCTACTCAAGAACTCTGGAATTTGAAGGTTCATTTCTGAGTTCACAAGAGCCCACCCACTAGTCCCTATCCTGAGCCAGATTAATCTAGTCAATACCACCCCATCCTATTTCTCTAAGAGGCATTTTAATATTATTATTCCACCTAAGTCTAGGTCATCCTAGTGGTCTCTTTCCTTCTGGCTTTCCCATCAAAATCCTACATGCATTCCTCTTCTCCCTATATATGTGTTACATACCCTGCCCATTGCATCCTCCCTGACGCCATCATTCTAATTATATTTGGCAAAGAGTACAAGCTATGAAGCTTCTCATTATGCAATTTTCTCCAATCTCCTACTATTTCATCCCTCTTTGGTGCAAACATTCCCCTCAGCACCATGCTCTCAGATACCTTCAGTCTATATTCCTCCCTTACTGTCAGAGACCAGGTTTCACACACATACGAAACTACTGGAGAAACTAGAGTTTTGTGTATTTTAATTTTAACATTTTTAGACAGCAAATGAAAAGCAAAAAGGTTGGGAACTGAATGGCAGCAAGCATTACCTGAATTAAATCTGATCTTAATCTCCTCATGAATCAAATTTTGATTTGTTACTGTTGTTCCCAAAATTTGAACTTTGCCACACTTTCATAGCATCTGTTATTTATCTATATGTTATGATTTGCCTTACATTTTGGTCATGAGACATTAACACATACTCAGATTTCTGTGTCTACTTCTAATAAAACCTCCTTAATGGAAACAATTAGGTTCTGTGTTGTTCTTTATGGTATTTATGTTACCTCCCAATAGATTTACATCACTGACACAGACCAGAAGCTGATGTATCCCATTTCATTCATCTGGCATGCTTTTCATGGACCTTGCTAATGACATATTCTAAAGCAAAGCTGAAAATCAATGGCAATAGATCATCTCCTTGTTTCAGACCATTCTGAATGGGGAATGTATCAGACAAAATTTTACCTGCTATTTGTGATAAAACTGATGAAGTTCAATTTTGAGCTTCATATAAGGTAAGTAATGCATCCATCCAAAATGGGTTTTAAAATTAAATTCACTGACAACTTTTAATGAAGATTGCCTTCCAACATAAATTTAATCAAATCTGTTGGAATGTTTAAAAGATAAAACAAATGGATAAAAAGATATAACCTTCCCATTATACATTCACTTTATGCACTTCAGGCAAAGAACACACACACAAAAAGAGCTTCATCTCTTTGTTCACCTTCGATTTCTTCATGGCAGAAAATCTGCCTTCAGTAGATTTCTTCATGGCAGGGAAATCATTTACTTTTGACTTCTTCATCCTAATGGTAATAACTGCTTTAAAACACTACTATTTAGATAATTACAAAACCTATCATTGCTAAGCACAATCCATTCACACACACATCAACCTGCTTCATGACAGACTAAAATGTCTTCAGGCTATTCTTACTGGTATGAGATGGGATTGTCTGCATGCTGACTGTAACTGAGTAGGAGTAACTTCCCCTGCCCCTCAACTGAAGTGCAAGTGGGACTGCTGCTTGCTTCATTCTCCTCCATTTATTCATGGATCAAATCAAACCATGAAGCAGTATTACTCTGTTAATTAACTGTTTATTTCAGGATAATTCCATCTTATTAAGACTCTGAACAACACTGCATCACAGAAGATACATTTCAAATGTATCATTCTTCCATTCTTTGAACTTTTTATGTTCTTCCTATACTTTGTTGTTTGTACTGAAGTGAAAGTTTTGGGAAAATGTTACTCTCCATTCTGTTTATGTGTAGTTCACCACTTTTCTACATAGCTGTCTACTATTCCCTTTACCAAATACATACAATGTTTGTTATGTATATACTAAATTTTAATTTTATCTGATTTAACATATCCTTGGATAATCCCTATAAACTTAATTTCTGCTACCTCAATTTTCAATTCTGGTAAGAACTCTAAAAGGCAAATATCATAAAAATCCATGCATTGAGAGTGCAGATACTAGACAGAAAAATAAAATGAAAATGATGCTTACATAGAGCTGTGACTACAAAATATACTTGAGAGCTGATACAAAATCCCACATAAAACCTCTGGTTTTAAGAAACAATAAAGTGGATAGTGAACAGTAATATAGTAAACTCTTAAAGCTGATACCACACACATAACACCATGAATACTGAAGCCTGCTGTGTTATCTTGTCCTTCAAAGTGGCCATTTTCCAAGAAGTTTTCCCACCAAACTTCTGTATTCTTTCCTTGCCTCCACATCCTAGTCACTACCTAGCCAAGCACAGTCTCCTAGATTTCATTATGTGAACACTACCACATAACATACATAATTCATGAAGTCTTTATTACTTAATATCCCAAACTCTATAGAGACTACATCCTTCTTAAGCCCAAGTAACTTCCTGAGCGTCAAGTTTTCAGACGCTTATAATTCACGCTCCTCTATGAAAGGAAGAGATCACGTTTGACATGCATACAACACAGCTTGTATAACAGTATTCTGCATTATCTGAGCATCACTGTGGAAAGTATACAGCATAATTACACTTCTGGATGAATAATAACCTAACAAGTATAAAAAATGGCTCTGAAGGGATGTAATTTTCCTTTGTCCTACCATTCCTTGTTACTGAGAAAGAGATCGCTCTTTTAAAACTGCACCATTAGTAAGATCCATAACATAGCAAACCCGTGAACTTGTGACTGGTAAAAAGTACAGCAACAGTCACCAAGGTCAAGTATATGCGTAGAATGCATAATAGCCATGTTTACCCTCAGATTTAAGAACTTTTTCTAGCACGCATAAGGCATGTTATTCAATAAAGATCAAAACATGATTGAACATCAGTTAGAAAATTACAAACTAACATCAAAATATGATACCTTCATAAATTAAAACTGGTTCATGGATAGAAAATTCTTGAAAACTGACAGATTATCTTATTGTGGCTTGCTAGGCAATACTGTGAAACAAACAACAAGACAATGGCTGTTGCTAGGCAGCAGTCTGTGCACAACGATGGGAGTACTGTTGGAAGGGGTGTTTTCTATGTGCTCCGCGCCAAGGCTTATACTGAGTTCAGTTAGTTATGCAGTGCAGTCAGTGGAGATAGTGCGTGGACTGGAGTGAGCTGACTGGTGAGTGACTAAGATAGTTAAAGGGCTGCTGTGGTTCTGTTCTTGTGAGCTGTTGCTGTTAGAAGATGGAAGATG